TGGGAAAGGTAATTATAATCAAACGGATCATGACTTAACCAAGCTTAGAAGTTGTGTATTATTTCTATTATATGATTTATATCGTGACATAAATTGGTATGGTCATAGAATGAATGCTTCATACTTAAATATCAAAGCATTTTATTTATGGAGAAGAAAGTTTTCAAAGCATGTTCTTTATAACACAAAGTAAAATGACTCCTGGGGTTAGGTCAACTTTGACCAGATTGTCAAGATTTGAAAAATAAATTAAGGTTTTTTTGACAATGCTTTTAACCCAAAATCTGGGCATTTGGTTTTTGAAAAAAAATATGATTTTAAAAAGTTTTCCTATGTGTCTTTATATGAAATAAGTTGACCCTAGGGGTGGGTGAAATTTTCATTTCAATAAATTTTGTACTGGTCTTTACAAGGTTACAACAGAAATAATTAGCTATAGGCATCAGTTTGGGAGAAGTTATTGTTTTAGCTTTTCATTTATGTAATTTGAAGTGACCCCTGGCATAAATGAATTTGACCACAAGATCGTAATTTAAGCAAATTTAATAGTATTATATACTAGGTCCTGCAGTTATGGAGAAGAATATTTTCTTCTTTTTTTTATATTTACACTGTGTAAAGAAAGCTTACTCCGGGGCTTCGCAAGAAACATGAATGTGTACTTCTTGACATTTTACCAACCATGACCTTGATGTTGTGTCATGTATATCATAAGCACATAGTCTCACGATGGCGATTATTTGTGCCAAGTTATTTAAATCTTCCATAAAGTCAAAAAGTTATGGAGAACATTGATCTTGGTTGCAGCGACCTGGATGTTGAAGTGTGGCGGGGATCATTTATGCTAAGTATTTTTAAAACCTTTGAATTGTCAATAAGTTATAGAGCGGACATAAAAAAAAGTTTTTACATTGGACCGTTGAGTGTGACCCTGACCTTCAGGATTGTGACTTGCTTATTGTGCTCTGCCAATGGTGTCACAATGTTGATCATTTCTGTCAATTTATCTTAAAAACATTTCAGAGGTTTAAAAGTAAGAGACAGACGCGAAATGTAGACTTTCTAATGTATGAACTGTAAGTGTGACCCTGACCTTTGGGGTAGCAATTCCATTATTGCGATCTGCACATCGTCTCATAATGGTGATCAATTGTGCCAAGCTATTTAAACAAAATTTCATAGGTTTAAAAGTTATGGAGGGGAAACGAAATGTAGATTTTTTATACATTTGACCTTGACCTTTGGTGTAGCAACCAAATGTTTGCGTTCTGCACATGTTCTTATACTGGTTATCAATTGTGCCAAGATATCTTTTTTAAATTTCAGCGGTTAAAATGTTGGAGCGGACACGAAATGTAGACTTTTTTACATTTGACCTGAAAGTGTGACCTTGACCTTTTGTGTAGCAACCCAATTATTGCGATGCACGTCGTGTCATAATGGTGATCTGTTTTACCAAGTTATTTCAGAATTACAGCGTTAAAAAGTTATGGAGCGGACACGAAATGTAGACTTTTTATTATTAAATGAAAACTTTTAACATTTGACCTTAAAGTGTGACCTTGACCTTGGGGGTAGCAACCCAATTATTGCGCTCTGCATATTGTCTCATTATGGTGATCACTTGTACCAAGATATTTCAAAAAAATTTCAGGGGTTAAAAAGTTATGGAGCGGACACGAAAGTGTTATGGACTGACGGACTGACAGACGGAGTCCATTCCTATAATCCCCCTTTCCGCTACGCGGAAGGTGATTACTGATTAACAATGTTGGTTTAGTCCCATCTGAAAAAGCCATACATATAAAAGTTCAAGATCTTTTTATTTATTTCTGGGAATATTTGAAATCATTACGCATTGTCAGTTCTATTTTTAACTTCTGTGACTAAGATATACAATAATCCGATTTGTGCAAAAAACAACAACAAAACAAAATTTCTGTCAAATTTTATCAAATATAGCCTATTTTTACGTCACATCAACACTTTAAAAGGCTTTGTGGCGACTTTCCTGCTTTACTGAGGAAGACCTTTATATGTTTCCCTCCGTGCATTATTTCATAATATTGACACCTTCTGGTCATCTTTTAAGGCAAATCAGAATTACAAAGTATATAAGAAAGTGAAATTTGGCTTATTCAAATAAAGAAAACAGTAAAATTATTTGTAAAATAAAGAAATCAAAGTCATATGTTCATCCTGATTCCAAATTCAAATACGCCCCGAACTTAATCTTAATTTGGAACACATTTAATGTAATTTAGTGTTCATGTGCATTACATGCTACCGGACAATTTGAGAAATGTTGTTTTTCCTCATCTCCAATTACATTGAAACTATGGTTTTCATACTGCACTTTTATAATGACTTATTTAAAACAGAAAGCTTAAATGAATTTTGGATACGTTTAGCCGCGGGTTATTTCACATGATTTATTGATATTTATTGATGATGAGTAAATAACGAAACTGTCACAGTTGATATGATTACCAATGTCTTTAGGATTTTATTTGAATGTTACCTGTATATCAGTTATAGCTTATTACTACGTGACGACAATTTACATACTTTTTTGTGTGAGTGGAACAAAAATCGCTCCCAAAGTTTTACAAACACAGTCATATTTTTCTTATAACTGGTAAAAAACGGTCGAAAACAAAAGCAAAATTTATCATAACACCAAATTTATTAAGTGCCTTTCTGATATATATAACATGTTCAAATGCGTTAAAATCAATACATTTATATCATAGTTATAAACATTAAAAAAGAATACTCGACATTAAATGAAATTTCAACAATTATACAAATCTAGATATGACTATGTAAAACTATTTGCATATAAACATACTCTTAAATTCTTTTCAACGTGATTTATAATAATATTATGAAACAGACCGCCATCTTCTTAAATAGTCACATATTTCTAAAGAACGAAGTGAGACTGCGGTAACAAAACTCATATTGTTTACATATCGGAATTACTTATATTGTATAATTAATTTGAGACTTTTAAGTTTTAGTTTTGTGTACATTCTTCTGTAGCTTGTTCTTAATGTATACTAGAGTTTTTCCCCTCTGTATCCGATTTTCAATACGTAAAACAATGGAGATTCTATACAACGTTTTAGGGATTCTGTTTTTCTCTATTTTAACGTGTTTAAATGGAGGGGTTGTTTTTGGTAATAAGACAAGATACCATTTGATGAACAGTCCGGAGTTTGTTGATGATCATTTAAGACATACTGACCGTATAACAAAGCATTAGGTGGTCTGACCTGTAGGTCACAAAATAATTTATAAAGAATTTTGAGGCAACGGTGGAATATGGCCTATTTGTTTTGCGTAACAAGACATCTATATAGGATTTATAATTTATGCTGCTCTATATTTTTTAAATCAGAAGAAAGTGTCAAATATTTAACACAAAATGGTGATTTTATCCATGTTTCTCCAACTGTTACAATATTTCAGCTGGGCTTGTATTGCATTGAGATGAGAACACAATCATTTAGGTTTTCCAGATGCACCTATGACACATTATCTTGAAGACGTTCATCATCACAACATATTGACATATTGTCTATTCCTTCTTATCACATTTGATCTGTGGGGGATTTTTTTTGCTTTATTTGTTATTTATTATTATTATTTAATGACCAATAAATGAAGAATGTTGAAAAGTTTTTTCTCAAATCGGGCCAAACATAAAGCATGAGTTATATTTTTCAATATAACTCTGAGTAGATTTCATTATTATCTTTTGCCTCTAAAACTTTAAGCGTTTTTATTGTTACAGTAACGGATCAGCAAAATGTTACCGATGTTTTAATTCAAATTTGTGTTTTTTCATAGAAAGTAAATGTAGTGAAATTTGAAATGATTTTTTTTATGTTTCAAATGTATCCAATTCTGTAATTCATAATCATGACATTAACTTCTACAACATGCTTGAAATGATAAAACTGAAAGCCTCATACGTTTCCGGGTTTCTCTCATTTTACCACTTTGTTGCCATGGCAACAGAACCAATTAATGTTGTTGATAGAATGAAAATCTACCTTTTAAAAAATTAAAGACTTAAGAACATTTTAAAATGTAATCTTGTTGGTTATTCTTAGTCTTAATAATCGTTATATATCAGTTCACTAGAAATTGGGACTCAATTTTCGTGTACCCCACCCACTTAAGGAATGTCAGAATCCACATTCTTACACAACAAAAATAAAAATAAGGGTACATTTAGTAAGTTGTTGATCAGGTCTTTGTATAATATGGTAAAAATATTAGTTTTCACCACTATGCCTCGACTGAGAGGAAAAAATGTCAGCCCATGTCGATTTTTGATACTTTTTCATGCTTTTTTAGCAAAATTTCTCTATGAAAACAAGAGTATATGTATAAGAAAAAGGAAAAGGACCCCTTTTCATATTGTTCCAATAGGATGTGAAGTTTTAACATCACCTGTACCAAAATAAATGCAAAAAAGAACAAATTTTATCATATAAATTGAGTATTAGCCATTTTTCAATAATTTGGCGGCCATCTTGGCGGCCATCTTGGATTTCTCAAAACGTACCATGATTTGACATGTCTACCCAAATTTTTTGTAAACTTCAAACATTTAGCTTTACATTGGTATAACATTTATCCATGGACCTTTTTTGCACACAAAAGGTCCCCAGGGACTGTACTAGAAGCAAAGCAAGCAACTGATGAACCATTTACATATAAACTAACTTATATCCTATGGTGAAACATTTTTAACTTAAAGACGGATAAATGTTGCATAATAAGAAATGTATTTATATATCTTTTCAGTAATTTTTCTTCTGAATATGATACGGACCATGGGGTCATGATTAATGTAACGTTAAGGAGGTGTAGGAAAGGTACGGACCCTGGGGTCGTGGTTAATGTAACGTTAAGAAGTTGTAAGAAAGGTATGGACCCTGGGGTCGTGGTTAATGTAACGTTAAGAAGTTGTAAGAAAAGTATACCCATTAAGATTCCAATACTTATAATCATATAAGCCACTGACGTTGCAAAGTAGCATGCCATGACACCGACGCAGGAAACCACTGATCCATAAAGTCCAGCCTTGACCAATCCGTATTTATGAATAATTACTCCGTTAAGCAATCCTGAAAATACAATGAACCTTCAAAAAAAAACCTGCTGAAGTAATAAAGATGTAGAACTGTACATTATCAATTTTTGGGGAACGAAGATGGTCAGTCAACAATATAGCGCCTGTTCAGAATGCCTAGGCTGACCTGGCTCAATATTGGCGGCAATGGCTAACTACTAACTAGTTTAGTTTACAGTATTGCAAGGGTAAAGAATATGTACTTTCATTTTAACTTTCAATTTATATACAAAACAAACAAAAAATACAGAAAATAAGGAACTATAATTTTAATTACGAAGTCTTAGAAATTTATAATATTTTAACAGGATAAGTTCTTTACTGTTGGAAGAGATTTATAGCATTATTGAACGAATGGTTACATTATGCTGATAGGTTAAGCACGTTATAAAAATGTAATATGACATCATTATTTCAGACGAAATCATGATCTGGGTCACATGATGTGACTTTGAGAAAACGTCATTAATAATTGATGAAGACAGTACCTGATCCAAGTCCCACGGCTATCAGCGTGGATTGTATAACGGCAGTCTCCGCCCTCGAGCTACCGAACTCTGTCATTATATCCGGAAATAAAGTACCAAATGAGTAGTAGAACCCAACGTTTACCACCATCACGTAATACGCGGAGAAAAACACTAACCATTTGTGAATTCGTCTAAGGATATTACTGAAAATTGAAGGAGCATTATTGTTGAAAATCATTTATTATTCAAACCCCTCCGTTAATTGATCAATCATTTTGGTAAATTTAATGAATAAGGATACTTGAGCTAAACTAATGAAGCGGGATATTCTAGTTCCGGCACAATGATTTGAGAAAATGGCGTACCGTTTGAAGAACTGTCATAACTGAGATATGTCCAGTAATTTTGATAGTTTTCCAGGAAACAACGTTTTCAAGACAATTCAAAAATTGGATTTCGAAAAAATTTAGATTTTCGTAAAGAACATATACATTAAATGTTATAAATCATAAACGCTTTATGCGTTCTTTTTCGACCGAATGATAAAAAATGATGATCAATGTTTAAATGTTTCAATCAAGTAACATTTTCAATTAGTGCCGACTGAACGTAGCTTGTTATTGAATAATCACACACACACACGCACGCACGCACGCACGCGAGCACACACACATCGGTTTTTAAGGCACAGTATGCCTCAGAAACGAATAAAACTTTACTTACTTAGAACCGGCAAACATAAGTAACACAACATTCAAAAAAATGGTAAGAGAGCATCTTAGATGCTTGTTACCTAAAAAATATCAGTAAATGTGAAATAATTTATCACAAAAGAAACAAAATGTTAACAAAGTAGTATTTTGACTACCATGCAAATTACTAAATCACTATAACTGTAATATTGTCAAAAAGCAACAGAAGAAAAAGATTGGTCAGGTGATTGGTCAATGAGTATGTTTTTAAAAACTATAAAATACACCGAAAATCAAAACCTTTTTAGAAAACAAATAAATAAAAGCATTTCTTGGACATAATGGGCCTTTAAATTTGAAAATTTTAGATAAACAATAGTGATATAATATTGGAAAATATAAAAATTTATAATTCAAGTAACATTTTCATGTTTTAACAAATGATAGATATATACATATCTATGTACATAGATACATATGCCATACAAGTCACATCATCTTAAACATCTTTAATATGATACACTCATTAATATGACCAATGGGTTCAGCTCTTTGACCCATATTCAGCTCTTTGACCTATATATAAGAAGACGAGTAGACCTAAAAACAGGACAGAGGACAAAAAGATTTTACATCATGATAAGACTGACGATGAAAATGACGACAACGTTAAATTTCACTAAAACTTTACTTTTACTTACTTTATAATATTCTTTTCTTTTCTTTTAATTTTGCTTAACTTTATTTTACTTTACTTTTACTTTACTTTAGTTTACTTTACTTTACTTTACTTTACTTTACTTTACTTTACTTTACTTTACTTTACTTTACTTCACTTTACTTTACTTTACTTTACTTATTCTTTACACAAATACTTTACGTTACTTTACTTATTTTATTTTACATGTACTTTACTTTACTTTACTTTATACAATTTCTTCTTAGTTCCATCATGTTGGAAATTTACACTTGAATCCGTTCCTGGAACCAACCCTTGCCCAAGGGAACAACGGCTTGCCCACGACAGGGTTTGAACCAAACTGTCAGTAATTAACTTGATAAGCCGGTTTAGATGAAAAGGGAGAGTATCGGATTAGAAATCCAGCGGTCGCTGGTTCAATCCTCGGGCGAGGCGTAATTTCTTCTCCGTGACAGTTTATCTCACTTTAATGGTCATTTAGATGGTCTCTCACCATTGATGCACAACTCATGTGAGATAAGTAATCGATAACTTGCCGAGAAATTGTTAAGTCCTGCATGGAAAGCTGCGACAAAATTGTTCCAAGGCGCACGCACGCGCTTATGATAAAATATTATCAAAATGCTACAATGGTCATACGTTACAAAAGATGTGATTTAAAGGAAATTACCGTATAAGTACTTTTTCTGCGGGAACTTTATTTCCGCTATTTCTGCGGTTCATAACAACACCGCAGATTTAATCAAAGCACAGAAGGCGCTGAATTTGTTTGGGTCTCACCAATGCTTTCCAGCGTTTTAATTGTAGTAAATTGGCTATAAGACTGATTGCAACACTGATATTCAATCCAATGTTTATTTGACTTAAACAATTTGAAAAAAAAATGAGTTGCCTTTACTGGGATTTGAACTCCAGGCCTCTCGCTTCCTAAGCGAGCGTAGAACCCTTCAGCCACGGTGAATTTATATGTGAACGCCCTGAAGAAAACCATATTAATCGATCTAAATTAGGGCTTGTAACGACTTTAACTGTTGTTTAACACAGATATAAATAATCTTGGAGCTTACTATAAGCATGTATATTTATAAAGAATCAAAGGGCTGCAAGTTCTGTGGTATTTTCTGATCTTTGCAATCTAAATCGTACTGTATATATGTATGTATTTTCCCGTATAAGTTTATTTTTATGTATTAAAATTAATTTTGCTAGGCACCAGAGTTTGATACAAACGGAATTCTACATAACTAGAGTTGCATCAAAAAATCATTTATGTTCATTTTTACGATAGCCACACTTTATCCTTGCATATCATGGCTACTCTCTTTACAAAGACACTTAAAAAAGAATTAAAAAAAAAAGTTTCCTCGACTGGGATTCGAACTCCAGACCTCTCACTCACTAAGCGAGTGCGTTACCCCTGCACCACGGAGAAGTTATACAAAAAGTGACTGAATAACATCAAGTCATTCTAAATTTAGAACTGCCATTGCATTTCGGGTCTGTAATCCTTATTAATTTCGAGGTATTTTATTCAGGATAAATCTGTTGTTTAAAATTGAAGTAAATAATTTAGCAAAACTCTTCTCGCCCAAACAGTCCGACATGTAGAATCTATACATTCCACTACTCGGTTTGTGTAGTATTCGGTAATCCACATCGCTAAAAATAGTATTTTCATTGATAAAATCATATTCATCCGCGTAATTTGTGATTGTGCATTTATTGACAATTCTATAAGCCAACGCTATTTTTAAACTTTAAATGTGTTGTAATTTGTTTGATACTTGTAACAAAATAAAAATATTTCTTTCTTTTAAATCGCTAGTTTAAAGCTGTTTTGAGAACTACTTGTTGTTAGGTTTGTCATAAACTTCTGTGTCAGAGATTGAATGTCCGCTTTGTATTTACTTATTTTCGATCAGAAAATACAATAAAACAATATTAGAAATATTCGACCATTCGGGAATTATTTTGCTTGAATATAGACGTGCCTGTCTTTGACCGTCTTTACGCTGTGATCTCCCCTGAATTTTTCGGCTTTAGTGTTACATATAAAGGGAAGTAACCGCTTCAAAAAAGTGGACTACTTTCGGCATTTGCAATTAACAACATTAGACTCTGAAATTTCGCTACCATTATTTGTTTGGTCTGACGACCCAAACAAATAAAAACCGCAGAAAATTAAGCCTTTCCGTATGTATATGTCGGAATATGTCAACTATTGGTATTGTATAATTACATTACCATGTACCGTTATCAGCTTTTGGAGCTTGGAATTTTTCTTTATGCATCTGTCGTGAATAAAATATTAGAAAAAATGTTACATTGCTTGTTTTCTTTGTTTAAATAAATATATTTGTATGATTTTCGCTCATTCTTAGCTTATTTTTTATGTTTTTGTTGTTTTTTTTGTAAAATAAAACTGTTGTAGTTTGGAGGGTGCAATAAACATACCCTTTTGTATTTGTACAATATATTGTGTCTACGTGCGATTTTGCCATTGTTTATTATTCACATTTCATATTCATGCACATGCAGTATTAAATTGTTATCATTGCACATTGCTGATTTTTGTTTTATTAACGTGCATATACAGATATATGATGATTACGACGAAACACATTATCAGCTGTCTGCATGTTAACCGAAAGTAATGTATGTGTTATTTGTTTAAAATCTACGGCTTATATTGAAATTCTTTCAAATAAAAATAAAATAAGGTACCTCTTTTCACTTTCCATTTTAGTACAAACCGCGCGTGCTGCAATGTCCTCCTTTTGGTACAAAGTAATGATGTAATTTACGAATACCATCGTTGGTTAGGCCCCATATAAACGCCACAACTGACCCATTAAGACTACCATTATCTACATCTAAGTTATACTGACCTTTGAAATCTGACCAACATTTATTTACTCATTTCGTTGTAAAACAATTGGGTGATTTACCAGCTCATTTAGCACAGCTCAGTTATTTTAAGATATGATCAACCAGAGAAGGTCGCGTAGAATCAGCTTTCCAAGTGTTTATTTTGTCCCTTCATATATTAGATTTTATGAATGAAATTTCTTACTGCTTTGAAACACCGCACTTTATGGTGGTCAAACGCGCTTTATGGTCCGACCCCCAAAGTGCGTTACACTTCGCATCGCACTTTTGGGTCAAACGCACTTTGGGATCAAAATCGAGAAATTGGCACCAAAGTGCGTTAATATGCTACATATCAACGCACTTTGGGTTCCAAAGGTCTGAAGGTGTCAACTGAGTTCTGCTTAAATACTGAGTACTGACTTATTTTCGATCTGTGACATTGAAATATTTGGGGTTGAGTTCAAGACGACTGTCGATACTTTGTTTGATGCTTAAGTGATACAAGTTTCATTTATTTTACCATTTGAAATCTCTAAAAAGTTGTCCATATAACAAAGTGCCCTATACATAAATTATGAATGTATTTCTGGAATCACAGGATGCTGTGAAAAATTTTCTGTGTCAGTCCTTTACTTGGTAACTATTGGTGTCATATTGAGCCCCATTTTAAATATGATGGGGATGAAATAAAATGCAGTTACATTTGTAACAAGTTTCTCGATCGGACTATAAATAGTGATTTTTACAGATACATTATTAAAGGAACTCCAATGAGGTTTATAAGCGTAAAAACATAAAATTTTAATTTTTCACATAGATAAACATTAGCAATTAAAACAGATATACAAATAGAATATAAACAAGAAATATACAAGACATACATTGAAAATCATATGTTTGTGCTATGCTAAGTCCGACTTGAGTGAAAAAGCGTTTATACGCTTTTCAATTTTTGATCATTTTTCACTATTATAATAATTATTCTGGAAAAACAGAGCGAGCTGATGATCTGATATTTTGCACATACGTTATTAGTATAGATCTACATCAAATGGAGTAATAATCTCAAAAAAATATTTCCAGTCCCGTCATGTAAAAAAACCTCCGTGGAGTCCCTTTAAGCTTATCCTTAAACTTAAGCTTTTTGTAAGCTTCGTAACAAACATTCGCCAGAGGCCTTTTTAATGGGAAATCTTACATACTTCTTTAGAAAGATCAAACATGAATTTTATAATGTTTAAATAATGGTATCAGGGAAATATAAGATGCTTGTTACCTGAATTAAGTAGCAATAAATATGAAATAATTTGTCATAAAAGTAGCAAAATGTAAACATTGAAGTATTTGACACCCATATAAAATTATAATTCACTATAACTGTACTCATTGCCAAAAAGGAACAGATGAAAAGATCAGGTTCAGGTAATTGGCAAATGAGTAACTCTTTGGATACTATAGAAGGACACCAAAAATTAAAAACAAAAGGCTTTTAAGAATTACAAATAAAAGCATCATGGGCCTTTAAAACGCATATGTCTACTAAACATTATTATTATTAATTTAAATGGAGAAAATCGGATGAGAATTGATAAAAACATGCAGTTTTATCGATAAAAAGTCACAATTCCGCCGCCGCCGATAGAGGGCCCTTTGACGTCATACGTCAAAATAATGATGCGGAAGTTTTAAAGCTTACATATCTACATGTTTGCATACAAAAAATCATCAAAATCTGAGATGTTATCAAATTTCGGTCGGAAAGTAGCGAGCTACCTTAAATAGTTTATGATATCTTTGAGTACTACTATTAAAGGCCGCATCTACATCTAGTCAAGTTTAGATAAGCTAAATAAATGGCCTTTTCAACATATTTTCAGGCACATTTTTGACTGAAATCTCTTATAAAGAAACTGTTTGAGGAGGGCATCGTAAGATGGCTGCAGTTACAGTATCACGTGATTATCCCAAGCACCACAGCGACTTAGCGCAGGAATTATAAATAACGCCCGCCGGACGGCGTCGATCTATATCTCCAAAAATTCGTAATATCGGCCTATGTCCGTCCGACCTTCGGGACGATGGCAGCTGAAAATTTTGCTCAATGGGCTTGTGCCGTCGAGTTTTAAGTACTACTTTTAATTTTTGAGGTAAGTGAGTTGAAAAGTCATCAAGCAAGGCGATATTTTTGGATCGGTAGCATAAAAACACCGTCCGATTTTAAAGGCACTCGGACGGACATCGCCCGGGTCCGCCTGGTGCTCCAATAGACACCAGTTTGCAAAAGATTATCGCTCGATATCCGGACAGGCACCGGGCGGCCGACGTTTTGTCTTATGGCGATCGCGCGGCTTGAGTATTTTGTAATTGCGGCTTAAGTTTTTTTCTAGTTGCCTAAAAACGTATCTGCGAATTCCTTTGGATTAAACTCGAGCAAGAACGTCTTCACAGCTTATTAAGGGAAAGGCAAACTCCTATTTTTGCATTATTTGCTTGACCTTCATCTTGTCTCTAACAACTATCTCCTTTGCTGGCATATTGACCACTGACTGATTGAGTATCATAAAAAGCCAAGCCTTTACCGCCCGACCGTGCGATCCATTTATAAATCGTATATACGTCGTCCGTACATCGGGTGTCGACCGCCCGCTCTTTGACACACCGTACCATCAAATGAGCAGACAGCAGTTCAAGCCTCGACAGCTGTCGACTAACTAACTAACTAATAATCATACTTTAAATTAATTTACATGCTGTAAAATAAATCATTTATTATGGTTGAAAATTTAGAAATTATTGAATAGAAGATGGATTTTGTAAGCATGATGTCTATTAGAAAGTATCATAAATAAATGAATATTTTAAATGAACAAAAAAGTTTTACCTGTAGCGCAAAAACGCTGAAAATTGTTTCATTGAACTGCTTTCAGCGTTATTCATTCTTGCTGATGAATGGCTGTCATTAAAAAGAGGCGAACGGCTGATGACGTTACTAAAATTTTGATAACATTCAAACTTAAATACCCTATAACTTTAACAGAAAAGCATTTTTGAAGGTGTGGTCTGGAATATTTAATGACGAAATGTTGACGTTTACGACTCGTATGATAAAAGGATTTATTATCATGAGGAAAATATAAGATTTTGTGAGTTAATAAAAAGGCTGCATTTCATCGGATAGTGTAGTTATTTTCAGTCAAAATTCACGTGAAGTAAAGCTTGCACATTTAGCATGCTCCTTTGGATGTTGAATATGAATCATAACATTGATTTACTCGAATGTTAAAAATAGATAAATATTTACCGTCAGTCAATTGTGTTTTCTGCGCCGACATGTATATAATAATGATAATAATAATAATAATAACTTTATTTACCGAAGGCATATACATATTGCAACATCTTTTTTACAATGCAGCCTTCTGAAATTAAAACACGTACGCACGCACGCACACACGCGCACACGCGCACACGCACACGCACACACACACACACACACACACACACACAAGAACACATATCAATATAAGAAAATATAACATGTACCCATAACTAGAAGTCATCGACTCTAACCCCTCATTCACGGAGGCGGTATTATATTTAACACCATGGTGACATATATACGAGTTCAGAGAACAAGGAAATTAAAGCGGGAAAAATGGGGTTTTATTGTTTATATTTCTGTTTCTGTGGGTTTGCACGATTTTCATATGTTCTATTCAGTGGAAGATATGTAATTAAGTGTTTATCTTTTAAAGCTGTAAATTGGCTGTATTGTTTTATTTTTAAATTTGATTTTCTTATACTTTTTTTTTCATCTGGAGACTTGCAATTTCATTACAATTCCTTAGCGGCCCAGCGGCCTGAACTTAACAAAATACAAGTTTGGCAAAGAAATTAAATTGACTCTTAATTAATTTCTAAAGACATATCTTACCATTTAAAAGTTACATAAAAGAAAAAAAAACACATTTAGACAGTTTTTTTTTTTACCTCTAGCGACCTGTCAGCCGGATAGAAATGTTATTAATATGATAAAAACGTTACTTTATGGGTTCTTAAGACTATTCTTAATATTTAAAAGTTATATAAAAAGAAAAAAAATCACTTTCAAAGAACTATTTATTTTATCACTTTTCTGAAGTTTGCGGCCGCTGGGGCACTAGGCCGCCAACTTCACACATCTTACATTTATTACATTCCATGAAAAAGTTTGAAAATATAAAATGTCTGATGAAACGTTATTCATTTTCATTAGACCAGCATAAAAAATCTATACAGAAAAAAAATCTGAACACAGTGATCCCTCGGAAGCATTTATCACAACAAAAGAAGTCAGTATGCAATCGTGCCTATATTACATAAGAATGAATGTAATATTTTTCTTGTTTATCTGACAATCGACAATGACATTGTCCCCATTGACCTGAATTTTGCGTACAGTTCTGCGCTTCATAATGGTTAACATTTTTGCCTATTGTTATATAAAATTCTTTAATAATTTAGAAGTTTTTCTACGTATAAAACGGTTTTCATTGACCTTTAAATATAACCTTGACCCTTGACCTGGTTCAGGTATGCAGCACAACAAGTTAAGCTCCGGACAGGCGTATTGAAAGGGATTCTTAAGAAAAGGGAATGCTCTTGTTTCTTTTAGCCACAGAAATTTTTCACTCTGGAAAGGGCAAAAATGCATTTGATAATGTCACTGGGGAGGAACTGTTACACGAAGTATGGAGTTCTTGTCACAGAGTTCATCGGAAAACTTTTGTATATACTACAAAAACGCCAGTCAAAAATGGTTATTTTCATCTTTAAAAAGTGTGTTTCAGGTACTTAATTAAACATAAAAGATTAAGCTTGCCTTATATCTTGTATTATGTGTCAAAAATAATTCATAGTCAATTTTTCATCACATCCTGTTTAAAATCTGGTAGTTTGAGTAAAATTTCCAATTATTGCCTTCGCACGTATTGACCTGTTTCTTTCTGGGTTCATCCTCGCCATACATAATTACCTAATTATAATACAAAATTGCAACATAAAGCCCCGGCTTATAAACTTATACCC